AGTGGAAGGCCAGAAGAGCCAATGACACTCTTTTGCTCTGGGCCTACCTGAACCACACAACTCCATCTTGTGAACTCTCACCTACTTCTATGCTAACTGCTTACATGCTCTGAAGCAGGCTGAAGCAGAAATGTGTTGGTCAGCTTTTTAGCAGATGGCTGCAGTTTCACTCACACTAGCAGAAATAATAGAGATAAGGAGCGAGGGAAAGGAGGGGTAGTTAGTTTACAGGCATCTAATCCAAGGTCGCAAAGACTGGAAAAGTTTTCTCACAAGCTTATGTAGAGTTTATTGTAACTGTTGTCTGAAAGGGAGGGGTAAGGGGGAACAGCCAGACAAAGAGATGTATGCAAACAGTTTGGAGTATAAAAGGTAAAATTTGTTTGTATTTGTTGCACTGGATTTGAGACATGCTGGTCTCCTAGTGCCATTTCAGAGCTCTGAAATAAACTTGTCTTGCTTTCTCCCCTCGGTGTCTTTATTGGTGCCAAGCACACCGGGCGACGAACCCCTGTTTGCCATCTCGAGCCCTTTTGGGTGGGCAACAGTACTCTTTCCTGTTATGTGAGTCTCTCTGGCTATCCTCATATTAAAGGGTCAGTAGCAGTGAGCAGAGGAAATATGAATGTCTACTGAAGGCACTGGCTTATACCACACAGGAAGCATCAGGCTCATATTGCTAGTGAGAAACCCTGCACCTGGCCAGAGAACTCAGAGCATGGAAACATTTAGAGTTAAAGACAAGTCAGATAAGAAAAGCAAAATTCTAATGTTTTTCTTCCAGATTAACTTATGTTTGCAAAGTTAATTTGTGTGAACATATACAGATGCTAGAAAAGTAAAAAAAAATCAAACTCCCTCAATTTCTAGGGCCTTTGTACAGTTTTTTCTCTGCTTCCTTAGATTCTCAGCCTTCATAAACACACAGCAAACAAACTCACAAGGAAGCAAAGTTCATATCTTTTTCCATGGTGCAGCGCTTTCACAGAACAAATGATGCTGCTAAACCTGTTTATCTCACCTTGCAGGAAACTGGCTGCAAACATCAACAACTGAGAGTAACAGCTCAGTTACGCACATACAACATCTCACAAACTTCAGGCTGTTTTAACTTTGCACCAGGCTGTTTCCACACTACAGAACTGAATTGTTCATTACTGAATGAGTAGGCTAGGACTGATTTAAGTGCATCCTCTCTAGACATGCTAATACATGTTAAGAACCATTTCAGATTTGCCCTGCATCCACAATAGCTCTATTATAAACCTTTTCAATTACAATGGTTTCTTGGCACCTCACCCAGCAAAACACACAGAAGAAGTGGATTTTTGGAGATTTTTGAAATGTCACCATTGAGGACTGGTTAAATCATTCCAGGTCACACTGACGCTTGTCATGTGAGAGGTAGCGGGATTGATACCTACACTGGGGGGAAGGATAGCTCAGTGGTTTGAGCATTGGCTTGCTAAACTCAGGGTTGTGAGTTCAATCTTTGAGGGGGCCATTTAGGGAGCTGGGGCAAAAATCTTTCTGCGGATTGGTCCTGCTTTGAGCAGGGGGTTGGACTAGATGACCTCCTGAGGTCCCTTCTAACCCTGATAGTCTATGGGCTGGTCTACACCCAGCCGCTAGTTCGGCGGCTGGGGATCGAAGTTCCGGGTTCGACTTATCGCGTCTGGTCTGGACGCGATAAGTCGAACCAGGAAGTGCTCGCCGTCGACTGCGGTACTCCAGCTCAGCGAGAGGAGTACCGCGGAGTCGACGGGGAGCCTGCCTGCCGCGTGTGGACCGCGTCTGAACCACGGTAAGTTCGAACTAAGGTATGTCGAATTCAGCTACGTTATTAACGTAGCTGAAGTTGCGTACCTTAGTTCGAATTCGGGGGTTAGTGTAGACCAGGCCTAAGACTCTATAACGCAGTTCAAACTAACTTGGGTTAAGAGAACTGCTTACATTTAACACAGCTGAAAACAAGTCTACTCCAAAAGGTATGTGTCATGCCTTTGCAGTGCTTCTGTGATTGGACACAAGGTAGTAAACATACTGGGGGAGCACAGGGTTCCTACCATAGTACTTTCCCCCCATTATAGACAAGGTAAGGTGAGTGGGTCATGAGCAGCAGGACCATCTTGTAGAGCAAGGAAATCTTTGTCCCAAGCACAGGATGCTGGAATTAGAGTATCTGACAAATTCCTCACAGTGGATCCTGAAAGCTCAGCTTTAGGCCTGGGGGCCTTCCCAGATACTTATGTCAGAGAAACTTTGTCTTCACCACAATAATTCATATTTATTTACTAAATCAATTCAATCTTTTAATGTGTGTGTGTTTGTGTACGAGTGAGAACAAACATTAGAAAGCTGCAGGTACAAAAAGCAGTTTGGAGAGCCCTTCTCCAGTGTTTTCTGCATTCCTCAGATTCTGAGTTTTCTTATACAAGAAAAAAAAAAACAAAAAAACAACCAACCAACCAAGGCTTCCAACAGAGTAGTTGTAGCTATTTCCACTGTGCAGAGCTTTACAGTGTAACTGATGCTGCTAATCTGGTCACTGTTCAGGAAACTGGCAACAGCCCAGCAGCAATAACTGAGAGAATCAGCTCCATTATGCATACAAAACATTTCATAAACAGTTTAAATACACTTTAAAACTAAGCCACTAGTTAGCAAATAGGTAGTGTAGAAATGGTTTATACACAAATGGTTCAGTGTCTCCACTCCAGCCAGGCTGCTGATGCTTGTTTGCAGGTTTGTTCTGCAACTTCACAATCACTCTTCTAAATTCTGTAAGTTGCAGTGGCCTGTGGGTACACATCCCATCATTCCCAGCACAAGTCTGAGAAATGGTGGGTTCTGGGAGATTTTGAAAGGCTACTGTTGTACAGTTGTAATTATTGGTAGGGCTCCTTGATCCATTTCAGGCAGTCCTGTCCACAGTCATTCTAAAATGATCCGGACTGAAATGGTTGGGACCACACAGTATTTACCTCTGTTGGAAGGAAGCCTATTACCAACAGTGTTTGACATAAATGAAAATCATTGGGATGACTTTAGTAAGTGGACATGAGGTGTGTATCTAGTGAGCTAGGAAAACCATAGTGTTCTTGGCATGGTATATTTCTCTAACGGGGACAAAGTGGAACTGACTGTGTCATCAAGAACAGGAGTACTTGTGGCACCTTAGAGACTAACAAATTTATTAGAGCATAAGCTTTCGTGGGCTACAGCCCACTTCATCGGACGCATATAGAATGGAACATATATTGAGGAGATATATATAGACACATACAGAGAGCATGAACAGGTGGGAGTTGTCTTACCAACTCTGAGAGGCCAATTAAGTAAGAGAAAAAAAAAACGTTTGAAGTGATAATCAAGATAGCCCAGTACAGACAGTTTGATAAGAAGTATGAGAATACTTATAAGGGGAGATAGATTCAATGTTTGAAATGGCTCAGCCATTCCCAGTCCTTATTCTATCCTAAATTGATTGTATCTAGTTTGCATATCAATTCCAGCTCAGCAGTCTCTCGTTGGAGTCTGTTTTTGAAGCTTTTCTGTTGTAAAATAGCGACCCGCAGGTCTGTCATTGAATGACCAGACAGGTTAAAGTGTTCTCCCACTGGTTTTTGGTATTATGATTCCTGATGTCAGATTTGTGTCCACTAATTCTTTTGCGTAGAGACTGTCCAGTTTGGCCAATGTACATGGCAGAGGGGCATTGCTGGCACATAGCAATGAATAAGGACTGGGAATGGCTGAGCCATTACAAACATTGAATCTATCTCCCCTTGTAAGTATTCTCACACTTCTTATCAAACTGTCTGTACTGGGCTATCTTGATTATCACTACAAATGTTTTTTTTCTCTTACTTAATTGGCCTCTCAGAGTTGGTAAGACAACTCCCACCTGTTCATGTTCTCTGTATGTGTGTATGTGTATCTCCTGAATATATGTTCCATTCTATATGCATCTGATGAAGTGGGCTGTAGCCCACGAAAGCTTATGCACTAATAAATTTGTTAGTCTCTAAGGTGCCACAAGTACTCCTGTTCTTTTTGCGGATACAGACTAACACGGCTGCTACTCTGAAACCTGACTGTGTCATGAGGCACAAGGATAGCTTGACCCCGAGTACAGTGTACTGGAGTTGAGGTGGTGAAGTGATGGAGAATCACTTTTGACCATGCCCAGTCCATGGAATATGATACAAAGGTGGGATCACATCTTCCAATTGTGCACTCTGTGTAACATCATCTTTAATTATCCAATGATGTCAATGAGAACTTCTACCCTGTGACTACAACAGCTCACAGCAGGGTTTCTCCGTTGCTCTCATCTTGTTCATGATGCACTTGTCGGTTTGCTTACTCATTTGAGAAGCTGAGGGGGCGAGTGGGTGGGACAGGTGGTTTTGCCTTTGCTGTTTTGGCCCCAAAGACATGGATATTGAATCCACACGATATCCATTTCAGTCCATTCCACATCCTTTTAAAAAACACCTTCAAACTATTTTCCCCAAAAGGAATATTTAGTCTGATCAACGTTATCCTCATATCTGAATTTATTCAGCATGGCTTTTATTCTGTGATTGAATTAAATGCAATAAAGTAAAAAGAAATCATAAAAGGTGGCAACTAAATCAGATTTTTTTTCAATTTTCAACCATTTATTGAAAAACAACTATTTTAATCAGATAATGGTTTAATTACCATTTTACAATAAATTATCACTGAACTGGAAAAAGGAAAAAGAGAGCAGCTTGGCCTGTTGGGAGGGCTCTGACAGGCTGTGGGTATCCAAAAAACATGTGGTTTATCAGATTTATTTTTGTTATGAGAGGCCAATCCCAGCTCCTTTTGACACAGACTCATGAACAACGTATGATCTCAGCAAAGCATATTATAACTTTACAATTTAAACACAGCCTTTGAAGAGGAAAAGATGACAGAGTTAGTATTTATTGGGGGATATTTGTCGCTGGGTTTGGGATGCCCAGATTTTATGATTTCCATGATCTATCTTCTCCAGATACATCAGACTGTGGCACAAGAACTGGCAGCTGACAAATGTAGCGCTTTGTATCTTTGCAGTCATCAGAGAAGAGTTCTCTGCCTCTGACGACTGCACAGTCACCATCAACATATCCTTTATTTACTGCAAACCTATGACAGAAAAAATGTTATTTCCAGCCGTTGTAGTTATATCTATGTCACTACCTTATTTTTTCAAGGGCAAAAATGTCTAATCTGAACACTGTGGTAGATAGCATCAACAAATAATTTTAATAATAATGAAACAATTGTGTAGAAGCAGATTATTAAATTTGGCATTTATGAATGCAATGAATAACTGCATTGAATAGAGTCAGGAGTAGTGCATCACATGCTGTGCAAATGTTTCACTTAACTGCCAGTGCACTTCAGTCATGACACACAACCTCTTTTCTACATCTTTTATTTTTATTTATTTATTTTTTTGAGTCCTACTCCACTCAGGTGTTCCAACGCACTTTATTCTTTACCTGCAGCTCCCCCTTCCCTTCAACTTTTGGTGCTTCATCACCTATGGAGTTTGGTCAATACATCTCAACTTCACTGGCAACATCTTCTGCTGACTTGGACCTTCAGTATTCTAAAAATATATTCCAGTGATGACATGTTGCTCCTTACTATTTCATTCTCGGTTTCTCTCCCTTATAGCACTGTAAATGCACTTCTTGGAAATTAGAAGTTTCTAGTTGTGTCTGGAACTTACTGGTCAGTGGAGAAAGCTGTGCCATTCCCCCACACCCAGAGTCTGTCAGTCTTGTCACGTAATAATCCTATCCAGTGAGAAGTTGCCAGGGGATTTATGAAATCCTGTAGAAGGACCAAGCCAATTCATGCAATTACATTCCTTTCCCTGCTCATTTCATGGTTTTATGCATATCAGATATCTGCTCATTTCATTAGTGTATGGATATCAGGTACAGTGATGTGGTTAACAGGTCCCTAGATGAAGAGGCAGCCTCATGGTTGAGCAACTGTACTCGCCAGACTGATCACATTCCTCATCATCTCCAAGAATGTAGGCTATAGATTTTCTAGAAATGGTGAAAGAATTCTCTGTGGATTAATCTATTGACTCTCTTGTGTGGAGGACAATACCTCCCCTAGATCGCCTGGAGCAATTTATGGTTGTTTTTTTTACCACAGGAATAGCTGTACTTTGAATAGGAGAAGTACAGGGGACATTGAGGTTTTGCCTTTCAACGGGGGCATTTTAAATTTAATTTAGGGTTCAGATATGGCTCTAATGCTGGGGAGAGAAGAGGAGGAGCAAGGTAATTAGCCGTCAAGAAAAAAAAATCTTAAAATGCCAAACGAAGCCTAATCTAATTTTCTGCAATCTTCTTTTCACGGACAAATCTTTATTGGGAGTTCTGCCTATGCCACTCTCCAAAAGAGGAAGATACTCTACCAGCTCTTGTTTGCTTTCTATCTGAAGGAGTGTGGAGCCATGAGAAGAGCAGGCCTTTAGACTCTCCAGCCATGGTTTGTATTCAGTAGAAAAGAGGTAGCATTTCTTTCCATGTTGAAACCAATGTTCTGGGCAAAGAGACTTCCATCCTTAAAAAGAAAATACAATTTATGTTTCCTCTATCGCTGTTACCCTTGTCTTCCCTCCCCAATTCCCTCTGCTTGACTGTTTAATCCACTTATTGTGTTTTGCCTGTATTAAGTTTGTCATCTCTCTCATGTAAGAACTGTCTCTTATGTTGTGCTTGTACAACATCTAATATAACGAAGGCCCATATCTGATTGAGGCCTCTAGATGTCCCTTTATTAGAAGTATTAAGTTAAAATTGTAATAATAGATTTTCTGTTGTAGTTTGATTTCGAGTCAAGTGCTTCACAAACCATCTGGAGACTCACAAGCACTGACACAGTTGCTGGCATTCTGAAGCTGGCATGAGGATTCTTGTGCCATAGCAAATAGACTAATTGTTATTGTACCTGTATCACTTTCCTTTTATACACAAATCATGTTTGTTTGTTTTTCCCCAGGGGAATGTTTTGGATTCTATACATCAAGTCCGTCTGCTATTGTAATTAATTGGCTGTTTCTTTGTCAGTAATGATTGAGCAGAATTCTTGCACAATGGATAAAATTCAGTGATGATGTGCAAGTGAGGCTTAGACTCCATTTATCAATCAGTTACTGATGTGCAAGTGTCAGGAAATCTAGGATGGTTTAACCTACATGCTGAGAAGTACCAGAGATGGAAAATGTTAAAGTGGGAGGTTGACTAGTTTATCTTACAGCTTCTTAACAGATGACTACAGTGGCAACAGAGGAGGAAGAAAAACCAGCTGGTCTGCAGAGAGAAGACTTGCTGTTGGCCACCTCAGGCAGTAGATAGTGCTCAGCCCCCCAGCCAGGTCCCCCATCCATCATGGTCAAGAACCGGTATGAGGTACTGCCAAGAGGAGGTGAGGAGCAGACCCCAATGGCTTAGGAAGAAAAAACACCTGCCCTCAAGGCTGAGAAACTCATGGCCAACACATGCAAGAGGAGGAGGCATTGGATGGTGGTGACCAGGGACTCTCGTCTCATGGGAACAGAGGCATGTATCTGCTGATCTGACATGATGTCCTGGGAAATGTTCTGCCTTCCTGGAGCTCATGTCCAAGATGTTACAGAAAGGTTGCCAAGGCTCATCGATCTTTCTGATCACTTCCCCATGCTGTTTCATCCACATGGGCACTAATGATACTGACAGGTATGGCCCTGAGCAGATCAGCAGTGACTACAGGGCTCTGGGAGAAAGGGTGAAGGAGTGAGGGGTGCAGGTTATGTTCTTGTCCATCCTCCCTGTTGAGGGTAAGGGGACAGGCAGGGATGCATGCATCCTGGAGATAAATGAATGGCTGTGAATGTCAATGGGAAGGCTTTGACTTCCTTGACCATGGGATGTTGTTCCACAGAAAATGTCTCCTGGGAAGAGATGGGGTCCACCTGACCAAGAAGGGGAAGAGCATCTTTGTACAGGGACTAGCCAACAAAGTCAGGAGGGCTTCAAACTAGGTTCAAAGGAGGCAGGTGACAAAAGCCCACAGGTAGGTATAAAAAAGGGTGACCTTAACATAAGGCTAAATATTTGGATGGGGAGGGCTGGAAAGTTACTATAGTATCATCATAGGAGCAATAAAATGTATAACAATGGGAGAATCGAATCAAAAGTTTAGATATCTGTATACAAATGTACAAGAATGGATGGGCGAGGTTCTGTGGCCTGCAATGTGCAGGAGGTCAGACTAGATGATCACGATGGTCCCTTCTGACCTTAAAGTCTGTGTGTCTATAAATGTAAGGAGTATGGGGAATAACCAATGAGAATGGGAAGTATTAGTATGTATTAGTTTTATACCTAAATTGGCATCACAGAGACTTAGTGGGATAAATCTCATGACTAGAATATTGGTATAGAGGGTAACAGGTTGTTCAGGAAAGACAGGCAGGGAGAAAAAAGGAAAGAGTTGTCTCATTATAAATCAAGAGTATATACACTTGTTCTGAGATCCAGAAGAAGGTGAGAGGTAGATAAGTTGAAAGTCTCCGGGTGAACATAAAAGAGGAAAAAAACACAAGAATCTCACAGGAGGGGGTCTACTATAGACCACCAACTAAGGAAGAGGAATTTAATAATGGAGATATCCTATCTCCTAGAACTGGAAGGGACCTTGAAAGGTCATTGAGTCCAGCCCCCTGCCTTCACTACCAGGACCAAGTACTGATTTCACCCCAGATCCCTAGAGTGGCCCCCTCAAGGATTGAACTCACAACCCTGGGTTCAACAGGTTAATGCTCAAACCACTGAGCTATCCCTCCCCCGAGAAGGCATTTCTAGAACAAGTAACAGAAATATCCAAAACAAGTAACCTGGTGGTAATGGGGAACTTTAACTACCCAAACATCCACTGGAAAAGTAATATGGCAAAACACAGACTATGCTTGGAATGTATTAGAGATAACTTTTTATTTCAGAAGGTGGAGGCAGCAACTGGGTGGCAGCCATTTTATATTTGATTCTGACTAACAGGGAGGAACAGGTTGCGAAAAAGGGTAATATTCTTGGGTGTATTAACAGGAGTGTTGTATATAAGTCACAGGAAGTAACTGTGCTGCTTTCCTTAGCACTGGTCAGCCCTCAACTGGAGTCCTGAGTCCATTTCTGGCTGCCACACTTTAAAAAGGATGTGGACATATTTAAGAGAGTCCAGAGGAGAGCAAGAAAAATGATCAAAGGTTTAGAAAAGATTGAAAAGACTGGGCATGTTTAACATAGAGATAGGAAGACTGAGTGGGGACCTGATAACAGTCTTCAGATATGCTAAGGGCTGTTATAAAAAGGGTGGTGATCAACTGATTTTCATGTTCACTGAAGATAGGGCAAGAACTCATCAATTTAGTCTGCACTAAGGGAAATTTAGGTTGGATATTAGGAAATACTTGCCAACTCTAAGGATAACTCTGGAATATGCTTCCAAGGGAGGTTGTGGAATCCCTGTCTTTGGAGGTTCTTAAGAGCAGGTTGGACAAACGCTTGTCAGGGGGATGGGCTACATTTATTTGATCCTGCCTCAGTGCAGGTGGCTGGACTAAATGACTTCTCAAAAGTCCCTTCCAGCTCTACATTTCTGATTCTATTATTATTATTATTGTTCCCTCATGTTAACTATTTTTTCTTGCTATACTCCTTTCCGGTTGCCTTTAAGCATGTGAGTTAAACCAACTGAGCTTCCTTTACATTTCCTCAAGACTCACTTCTGACTTTTGCAGTGAGTGCAAATTTTTGGTAAATAAGAATAAAAAGAATTGGAATCTAGTTAACCCAAAATGTCATAATCTGCTATTCATCAGTGAAGCAACAATGTTGGGGATTTAATTTGAAATGATTTTAGTCTAAAGTTACAGCACATACAAGAAAAAATGTTGCCCTTTTGAAGGCAATCCTTCCTGTTCAAAACCTTTGGCAGGTTTCCATTCTTACCTGGGATAATTTCCTGAAACTGGTTCAGGTTTTCCTGCTGTTTACATGGTATTTGGGAGATCTGAAAAACTTAAAGCCAAAATAATATAAACAATATGATGTACCACTTAAAAGTAAATTGCAGCCCAGTTTTACAGATCAATATATTATGCCTTATAGGGACAAAAAGGGCCAAGTTCTACCTGCAGTTATGCCATCAGGCATAATGTCTATGATATTTGTGGCAAAGTACCTTCTTCTCCTCAGCAGGCTCAGTCCTTTTTAGCCTTGGAGACACAGGCTTGGGCAAGGCAAATCCTTGCAGGTAGCACAGGGTTTGGCTATTCCTTTTCTCAGTCAGCCCCTTGTGCTTGTTTATCTTCCCTTCTGGGGACAGAGTGCAGCCTTCCTTGCAGGAAAGGTTCAGAGCCTTGCTGCTCCTAACTTCCTGGCAGCTTCCCTGGTTTTCTCTCTCTCACTCACTCACTCTCACACACACACTCTCTCTCTCCCCCCTCCCACGCCGGGGAGGGTTTAAAAAGGTCCCAAGCAGTTGGAGCCAGCTGAACCTAATTAGTTCCCTAGTAACCCCTTGCCCAGCTGAACCTTATTTCCCCATGGTTCTCTCTCTTCAGTGGCTTGGGAGAGGCCTTTTTAACCCCCTGGGACTGATTACTACCCCCTTTGTAGCTGTTTGCCCTGGGTTTGCCACATATTGTAATAACAGCAAATTATAATGTTACATGTAACATGACAGGTATTTTTTCCTTGTTAAAAGTAATCTTAAAAATAAAGATTTTGAACTTAGTAGCACCCTCAAAAACTGTGTGGCTAAAAATCTTGACTTTGTAAGGATTCACAGAAAAGAGCAATTGAAAACATCCCGATTTCCAACATCTATGTTGAACACAGGTTTGAAGTGACCTCTAAGCAGAAAAATGCCGCTATGCCCCTTCTGGCTTTTGGGTCATGTGGCTAATAGGAGCTGTTTTTTCTAGGCGGTCGTCAGTTGCAGTTGTCCCTGGAAACCCTGCAAAGAGAGTGGTTCCAGAGCACAGAGGACAAGCCAGTGGAAGTGCTGCTATCACCATGGATTTGGGAGTGTGGGGGAGAAAATATGAAATAACCCAGCTGGTGCCCCTGCCCTGCCCCCTAAAGCCATAATTAGGCATCTAAATAAGTGGCCTGATTTTCAGAAGAGCTAATCATTTGCAGCTCTTCACTGACTTACACCCCAGGAGATTTACTCTCCAGCAGTTACACAAGGAGTACACCAGTACAGAGCCTGTCTCTCAATATCTATTTTGCATGTGCTTACCATTGGCAGCCAAGACACCCACTGCTATCAGCAAAGCCAAGCAGAAAATCCCCAAAATCCCTGCTATGACCACCCATGCAGAAGCTGGAGCAGAAGAATCTGAGAGAGAGAAAAGGGAGAAGTACAGAATTATGTGGGGAGGAGGGAGAGGAACGTTTTTAAGCCCTAAACCAGGCATAAGCCCTAGAGATATTTTTTATTACTATTGCAACAATGCTTTTTTTCTGTCTCTGCTCTTATTCTAACGTGCTATGGAATTTAAGAATGAAGATAATAATTAAGTTGTATAGAATCTGAGAAGGGTTTATAAAAACAATACTTTATACGTCTATAGAATTTAACAGAGAATGAGATCTTCACTAAAAGATTTTAGCCATCTTATAGCAACAATACAATTCTCTACCAATTACATTCTGTAGAATGGTTTAAAAAAACCCGAACAGCATAAATGTTCTAATTTTCTCTTAAATTGTTTCAGATTTATCCACAAGAGTGGCCTGTTTTGCTTTCCAGTCCTATTCTCTGTGTTAATGAAATGCAGCTTGACCACACACATGTATCCATTCACCTCCCCCTACCCTCACCCCTATTCAGCTGAGTCAGAACAGGTCATCAGAACTCTCAAACTATGGAATGAAAACTCTTTCCATGCTCAAGGTTATACGGGTCAGGATGCCTGGATAGCAGGATCTAGCTCTAGAGAGGCCATAGTAAGGAGGCAGACTGTATTACATGGGACCTGATGACAACAGAACAGTCCTGGACTCCTGGCAGAACACCATTAAAGTATATTTCTTCCACCTTAGCACTTATATGGAGCTTTTCAACCGTAGTACTTAAAAAAGGTGGGAAAGTTTTATCCTCCTTTTACAGATGGAGAAATTGAAACAGAGAGGTGAAATGTTTTTCCCAGATTTACCAAGGGAGTGAATACAACCCAATGATCCTGGCTGTCAGTTTGAAGCCCTGTGCAGTGTACCAAACTGCATCTATCAGCAATTTGTGAAAGAGGGGAAGCATTATATTGAACTCACAATCCTGGATTTAGCAGGCCAACGCCTGGGGGAAGGGATAGCTCAGTGGTTTGAGCATTGGCCTGCTAAACCTAGGGTTGTAAATTCAATCCTTGAGGGGGGAACTGGGATAAAAATCTGTCTGGGGATTGCTCCTGCTTTGAGCAGGGGGTTGGATTAGATGACCTCCTGAGGTCCCTTCCAACCCTGATATTCTATGATGATATTCATTCACTGCTAGTATCATGTACATTCATGAAGGTGGGGTAAGGAAAAGGAGGCTCAGAACAAAGAGTTCTAGGAAGAACAAAAAGGGCTCCCCCTTCCCTCTTGGAAGTTCCACCATCAAGGGCACCTTAAAACAGCATTAAGGGCTCAGCTGTGCCTTTTAGGAACTGCCTTGTGTTGGGCCAGTATGGAAACTCCTGCTGGGTGGGGATTGTGTCTCCTGGGGAACAGTCCCTCCCCAAACTCTCAAGTGTGCAAGGGGAGAGCACACACTACAGCATCTTATAGGATAGTGTAGCTGCTCTCCTGAATTACATAGTACAGGAGGAGGCTAGATAAGGCCACAGCTGTATCTCCCTCACCATGGGGTGGCCGAAGCCTCAGTGCATTCTACGAGGGAGCAATCCCTGCACCTGGGAAGAAAATGCCTGGCCACTGTGGTTGGGGGTAGAAGGCACTCCTGGCACCCACCGCTCTCCTCCCCTCAAACATTCATATAGTGGCTGAGAACCATCTGGCCCCAATTCTCCCATATTACATACATTCAGAATTACCTTTATATCTTAATATGAAGAATGTGCAAGGAGGCCAGGTGGATAATGCCTGTGGGCATCTCAGCCATTGAATGTCTTGATGTTGGATATTTAAGTCTTGAATCATTATGCAGAGTTTTGCTTTTAATGTTCTCATACAGTTTAAGGTAACGTTAGACAGATAAACAGCAGTAAATATGGAGTCAGCAGCAAGTAGCATATAGTACCTTTGCTCTGGGAGTTCATAGTCCTTTCTCTCCTCTCCTGCGCAGAAGCATTGTGGCATTTCAGCCCCGTATAGGTCACAACCTCTTCGTTTCCTTCTAGTGAATTATGGCATAGAAATAGTGAATTCCATTCAATGCACTGACAAGGTAGATGGATCTTATTAAAATCCAATGGAGCTATGAGACTACCACTGCAGTACATAAGGCATGGCAGGACTTTTGTATGAAAAGGTTTTGTCCCACAGTACAATGGTCTGCAGTAGCCTGTCAATGTACTGGGATCAACCAACATCTGTGAATTCAGCACATGCATCTTATCACCTTTTTTCCAATATCAGACTCCTCTTTATAGTCCTACCCAAACTGTTAACTTACACTGAAAGTTGTTCAAGTGACTAATATAACGCTTTGTACATACAATAAATAAATCGCAAAAATTAGAGTTAAAAAAGCTAAGCATTAAAAGTTATGGAAATCTCCAGCTAAGATAACATATCTACTCGATTACCCTTGTGACTCATGCATTCTGCTAATGAAAAACTTGAAATGTAAAATTTCACTTTAAATACTTCAAAACAAATTGAACTGTGATCTACAAAACATATTTATAAACTCATTCAACATATCCAGGTCTATTTCCTTGATTTAAAGCCTGCTCCTGCTCCCATTGAAGTCAATAGCTGTACTCCAATTAACTTCAGTGGAAATAGGCCACTAGGTATTACGCTCTTTTAAATGGAGATCATGTTTTATTTCTGTTTTTTTTAAAAGCATTTTAAATGTCATCTTCTCTAAAACTAATTGCTTAACTTCTTGAATGCTCAGGAAATCCTCCGCTGGACAGAAATGATTTTAAGGCTCTGGGATGGTAAATAAGGATCAGCAATGACTTCATGATGTTGACTATTACAATCAGGCAAAGCAGAAAGAAAATGGTATTTTATTTGGGTATGAGTAGGTCTCAGAAGGGAGAGTAGAATTCAGCGGTCACCTCCTTTAATTCTCCCACAACAAGGCATGACAAAGAGACAACGTCTCCTTGAATATGGGGCAAATCAACAACATCCATTGACAAGGAATGGTTTGCGATAACACAACTGCTAGGCAGCAGTTCTGCAGAAAAGGACCTAGGGGTTACAGTGGATGAGAAGCTGGATATGAGTCAACAGTGTGCCCTTGTTGCCAAGAAGGCTAATGGCATTTTGGGCTGTATAAGTAGGAGCATTGCCAGCAGATTGAGGGACGTGATCATTCCCCTCTATTCAGCATTGGTGAGGCCTCATCTGGAGTACTGTGTCCAGTTTTGGGCCCCACACTACAAGAAGGATGTGGAAAAATTGGAAAGAGTCCAGCAGAGGGCAACAAAAATGATTAGGGGGCTGGAGCACATGACTTATGAGGAGAGGCTGAAGGGAACTGCTATTACTTAGTGTGCAGAAGAGAAGAATGAGGGGGGATTTGATAGCTGCTTTCAACTACCTGAAAGGGGGTTCCAAAGAAGAGGGATCTAGACTGTTCTCAGTGGTAGCAGATGACAGAAGAAGGAGTAATGGTCTCAAGTTGCAGTGGGGGAGGTTTAGGTTGGATATTAGGAAAAACTTTTTCACTAGGAGGGTGATGAAGCACTGGAATGAGTTACTTAGGGAGGTGATAGAATCTCCTTCCTTAGCGGTTTTTAAGGTCAGGCTTGACAAAACCCTGGCTGGGATGATTTAGTTGGGGATTAGGTCCTGCTTTGAGCAGGGGGTTGGACTAGATGACCTCCTGAGGTCCCTTCCAACCCTGGTATTCTATGATTCTATGAATCACAGAACTGTGTTCCAGGGCTCCAGAGATACAATAACTTTTGCTTCCCATGCCTAGAATACTGTGTACCATTGTAGGGGCATTTCAATGCTTGATAGATATTAACAAATTACTAAAATATCTGTGCCTGGCACTGAAGAAAAAGTTAAAAATATAAGTAGATACAATCAGATACATTGTGTACAGCTCAAGGAAGAGATTTAACATGGAAAATAAAATATCAGTAATAGCAGATATGTTTTCAGATGCTTACAAACATACCACACCTTTGTCCCTGGTGTTCTTAGGTGTCTTTTTCTTCTTCTGCTTGGAAGGAGTTTGAAATTTCAGGTCTACATAGGTCACTGCCTGCTCACTCATTTCTGGTGCATTCTGGGATAGAAAGGTTGGATTGAGTAAACTGAGATGTACAATGGGATCTGATGGAAACTGATACTTAGGTTAAGGAACTACAGCAATTGTAATGCTCTCACAGCAGAATAAACTGGGGGATGTGGGTTGGAAGAGCCAAGCCTCCCTCTCACTGCACCTGGAATGTGGCACATAGTTCTGGGTGCGGGATACCTTAATACACAATGGCAAACTAGACGGATTCAGAAAAGAAAAACAAACAAACAAATAAAATCCTGGCGGGACAGATTCAGGAGAAAGAGTATAAAAGACAAAGCTACGATTTCATGTGCTCTGGCAGTGGAGGGAGGCTGGACACAATCTGGCTCCTAATACTGGAGAACTCGATAGTATCAGGAAGAGTTAGCTCTGCCAGTAGCAAAAGAACCCCCGGTGAGTCAATTTGAGGGTAATGAGAGGACTGGATGGTGACCCTCTCCTCCTACTGACAGGGATGGCTGTGCTGGGGGAAATGCTTACAGCACATGTCAAATGTGCAACATTACAAGGGGTGTCCCTCTCTGCTCTCCCCTTTAGGTTTCTAGAGACTCTGGGTCTGATTCGCCACTTGTTTTATACCATTGTAATGCCATTGACTTTAATGGGGCTTTTGCTCCTAAATCATTCAGGGACTTTAGAAAACACCACCCCTAGGTGCCTATATATGGATTTTGGAGAACTTTAGGCTCCAGTGCTCCAAGTACTGCCACTTGAGTGATGCACCTCCTCCACTTGCTCCTCCCTTTGAGTAATATCCTTTAGCATAACATACATTGAGTTTCAGTATAGACAGAATCATGGGGTGATATTCTGCTCAGAGACAGTCTTGTATACATCTGGAATAATTCCATGGAAGTCAGTGGGAGTTACTTTAAATTTACATGGTCCAAATGTGGCCATGGTGCAGAAAATCATAGAAGTCAAGGTGTCTTTCCTAACTTTATGTTATTTAATTGATCCTGTGGGAGTCTGTGACAAGGGTAAAACAACATTGTGGAGTGGTCAAAGGGATCCACGACTATCACATGACAGGTCAGAAAGAGGAAGCTGAGTCCAGAGGAGTCACAGGGCCAGGGGGTCCCTCTTCCTGACTGGCTGAGGCAGGGAAACCTCTGGGGATTATGACCAATGTTTTCAGCTGAGGGTGTTTTATTTTGTTTTTGTTCCCATTTTGTTTGTTTGCATTGTTGTAAATAATAAAGAAGGGCATGAAAAGGGACTTGGGCCTGGAGATTGCTTCCCTTCCCTGGCTGGTGAAACAGAGGCCTCCCCCACACCACACACATGGTCAATGTAGGAGTGTTATATCAATCACAGAGTGAGGTTTATACTTTCATACCATTAATATAGGATTCTGTCTAATGCTTTATCCAGTCTAATATTAAATGTTTCTTGCAGAGGGATTTCCACCCCCTACCTGGGGAAAATTTTGTTTGTCTTAACTCCCTCCCTGTACACCTACATCTACAACCTCACACCACCCCAATCACCCATTTCCCTCCTTAATGTTGAAACACTTTCAATATTTCTAGACGGTTATCATGCATCCCCTTTTAGTCATGGTTTGAACAATGTTTCTTACGCACTTTTAGATCTTAAGTCTTTCTTTATAAGTCAATCCCTTCAGCCTCATTAATAAAGTGCATGTCTTGACTCTGAATTCCTTCCAAACTGCTCACCACTTTCTGCTTTTTTATTTTGTTATAAGTCATGTTATAAATCCTTGGGACAGGGTCCATGGTCAAAATATTCAAAAACGGGTGGTAAAAATTAGGTTTCTCAGTCTAAGCAGCCTGATTTTAAAAAGCACTGAACAGCCAGTAGGTCTTATAGATTTCAGAGGGGGCTGAGAGATGCTCAATATTTTTGAATATAAATCAGTTTTTCAGGTGACTAGATATGGATATAAGAGGCTAAGTTGAGGCACCCATTTTTGAAAATCTTGGCCCACCTTCCCTATGTTCGATACAGCAAGGTACATAGTAGGTGTTCAACAAATAAGTAATAAAATACTAATAATAGTGACAGGTTTCAGAGTGGTAGCCATGTTACTCTGTATCAGCAAAAAGAACAGGAGTACTTGTGGCACCTTAGAGACTTACAAATTTATTTGAGCATAACCTTCCATGGGCTAAAACCCACTTCATTGGATGCATGCAGTGGAAAATACAGTAGGAAGATATATATACACAGAGGACATGAAAAAATGCTCTGTGTATATATATCTTCCTACTGTATTTTCCACTGAATGCATCCGATGAAGTGGGTTTTAGCCCACAAAAGCTTATGCTCAAATACATTTGTTAGTCTCTAAGGTGCCACTAATAATAGTGTATAAAAATGGAAGTGAACAGAAGAGAGTGCAGAATTCTAGGTATGCTCTCATCAGTGCCATAGAGAAAGAGACTGTCCTATAACTCAGTGCATCTACCTATCCACAAAATGTTATTACCATTTTTGCTAAACTACTGCATTGCAAGCACATATTTAATCTGTTTTCCATTTCTCACTATCACTGAGTAGCAAAGTTTTGGATTATTACACCAGACGTAATAGTTTTAATTTTATTTTCTGCTCATTTTGCTAAACTTTCCAAATTGCTTCAGGTTATCTATCTGATCTTATTTGTGTTTGCAACACCCGTCCATTTAGTACCATCTGAGAATACATTACATTAATTTATTTTACATTATCAGGTTATTTAGACCAGCTTCCAGAATATTTATAAAGATAAAGATCCTGCCACTCAGTCCACTTCTAATTATCATTACCCTTGGTTCACAGTACTTCAACTTCCTGTCTTCTCCAGCTTATGTTGATCTTGTAGATTTGGTGAATACAGTTATAAAGTCTACATACTAGACCAGAGTTGAATAAAATACAAATATATCAAATTCTAACACTGGGTTTGCCTGAGAGAATAAATCCTTTCCGAGTCTCTTACTAAAAATAATGATAAAATGGTATTCTATTCCATTCTGTCTCTACAATATTTTTCTTCTGACTAAAATTTAACAAAGTTTTCAGATATACGTCCATTTCAGGAGAACTAATCACTCATTTTTTGAATTATACAAAAGCAATAAATTATATACCTCTTATAACAGCTATATACTTTACCAATGAAAGCCCATGAAGGATGTGGAGATTATACTGTGGTAGCTCTTTCACAGGAGGCTGGAGTGCACGAACTAGACTTTGAAGTGCCACCAATGTGCTTCATGAAAATCCTTTGAGGATGGAGAGAGACAGTCTGGGGTCACCCTGTCACTGCCTTGTAGGAGATGGACAACAGGAGCTGAGAGGGGAAGAATTATTCACTCTGCAATGCTCCATCTGAAACTGCACAGGAAGTTCTCACTCTGCTAGTTTGAAGTGCGCTGCGCCCGCACAAAGCGCTCACGGGATCTTCTCTCTTTGTAGTTTTACGCAAGGCCTAAGGTGTTACATTTAACCTGCTTGAGGTCAGTTAAATATTGAATTTATTAAACAAGGTTGCCTAAGCAACAATTGATCAGCTAGTCTCTAAGCACTTCTTAAACCACATGCAAGATTTGTCTGTCAGTAAACTCAGAGTAACTCCCTATTTATACTGATTTAAATAAGATCAGAGTCTAGCCCATGGTCTCTGTTCACGTTCCCTACTTGCCTTACGAGGGAGGCAAATTTATTCCATTGGAGACTTGAGTGCTCTTCCTGGTTCTCCCATGGATTTCCTGACCACAGTCAAGCCACTTCCCCTTTCTGGAACATGGGGTGGGATGAAGTGGTTTAGGTACAAGAAGAACAATCCCCAGTCTTTGCCTGAATCATAATAAAACATTTGTCTATTATCTCTTTTCTGTATCCTGTTCCCAATTTTTCTCTCTCATTTTTCCATGAGTGAAGTTTACACCAAGACTTAATTTGGGCTACAGTTTCTTACATTTCAGTATTTACACCTGTGTTACCGTTGCCTCAGTGGGTCACAGCTAAGGATGCCAAATTCAGGACAAATTGCTGAGAAATAGGGCAGACTCATCCAAAACTGGTGATTATTCTACAACCTGATAGTCATGCCTGACCAACCTGATTGCCTTCTATGATGATATCCACTGGCTTTGTGGATATGGGGAAAGTGGTGGATGTGATATATCTTGACTTTAGCAAAGCTTTTGATACGGTCTCCCACAGTATTATTGCCAGAAAGTTAAAGAAGTATGGATTGGATGAATGGACTATAAGGTGGATAGAAAACTGGCTAGATTATCGGGCTCAATGGGTAGTGATCAAAGGCTCAATGTCTAGTTGGCAGCCAGTATCAAGCAGAGTACCCAAGTGGTCGGTCCTGGGGCTGGTTTTGTTCAACATCTTTATTAATGATCTGGATGATGGGATGAATTGCACCCTCAGCAAGTTCGCAGATGACACTAAGCTGGAGGGAGAGGTAGATATGCTGGAGGGTAGAGATAGGGTCCAGAGTGACCTAGACAAATTGGAGGATTGGGCCAAAAGAAATCTGATGAGGTTCAACAAGGACAAGTGCAGAGTCCTGCACTTAGGAAGGAAGAATCCCATGCACTGCTACAGGCTGGGGACCGATTGGCTAAGCAGCAGTTCTGCAGAAAAGGACCTGGGGGTTACAGTGGACGAGAAGCTGCATATGAGTCAGCAGTGTGCCCTTGTTGCCAAGAAGGCTAATGGCATATCGGGCTGTATTAGAAGGAGCATTGCCAGCAGATCGAGGGAAGTAATTATTCCCCTCTATTCGGCACTGGTGAGGCCACATCTGGAGTACTGCATCCAGTTTTGGTCCCCCCACTGCAGAAAGGATATGGACAAATTGGAGAGAATCCAGAGGAGGGCAACGAAAATTATCAGGGGCCTGGGCACATGATTTACGAGGAGAGGCTGAGGGAACTGGGCTTGTTTAGTCTTCAGAAGAGAAATGTGAGGTGGGATTTGATAGCAGCCTTCAAGTATCTGTGGGGGTGTTCCAAAGAGGATGGAGCTTGGCTGTTCTCAGTGGTGGCAGATGGCAGAACAAGGAGCAATGTTCTCAAGTTGCAGTAGGGGAGGTCTAGGTTGGATATTAGGAAACACAATTTCATTAGGAGGGCGGTCAAGCACTGTAATGGGTTGCCTAGGGAGGTGATGGAATCTCCATTCTTAGAGGTTTTTAAGGCCCGGCTTGACAAAGTCCTATCTGGGATGATTTAGTTGGGGTTGGTCCTGATTTGAGCAGGGGATTGGACTAGATGACCTCCTGAGGTCTTTTCCAACCCTAATCTTCTATGATACTATTATACGAAGCCGGTAACAAAAGTAAACTTTTGTCTCACCACACTGGTTAACCAGAAGTTAAAAATGCAATCTCCTTAGGCACCCCAGCCCTTGCTTCATCACACAGATACTGGACTTTATGATGAGTAGTTGTAAAAAACCAATTGCATCATATACTGTGTCCTTTCGATCCCAAGAGATCGGCCACTTAGCCAGGTCAATATATCACTTAGATCTTACGCAATAATCATGCTGATGCCAATCCTTTAGCAACTAAAAACTAAAGGTTTAATAATAAAAAAAGAAGAGAGTTACAAATGGTTAATAGATCATATACATACAAATGATATTTTTAGTCTTTATAGATCAGGATCATAGCAGTGATGGAATAAACTGCGATCTTGCAAAAGTCTCTCTGGAATTACCCAAACAGATTAGGGGTCATCAGTCCATGTTCAAAGCTTCCTTGTCAGAAATCCAGTCCGGAGAAATGAAGCACAAAATGAAGATGAAATTACATCTAAGTAGGTTTTCCATGTGTCTGTTTAATAATTAAGGTTATGATTTTCAAAGGAGAATAAGGGAGTTAGGTGCCTAAACACTGCTGAAGTTCAGTGGGATTTGGACATGTAACTCCCATAAATTCCTTTGAAAAAAACCATCCTAAGAAATCTGCTTTTTTTTTTTAATTTCAGTTTATATTACAACAGACTCGACCTCACCCCATCCCACACCCCAGACCTTTTTGCTGCCTCTGGCACTGAGTGGGAGGCAAGGAGATGATTAAATGAAGGTCCTGACCCACATCGTCACACACATTACTGAGCTCAGGCCAGTGGAATCTCCTCCCACTATTGGTTTCATGTCAGCTTTATATAAATGTACAGGGAACTGAACAGGTTCACACTGTGGCTTACACATCAATGGAGAGAGCTGTGCTGTCCTCCCATAATCAGGGCCCACCTGCTCCATTATGGGATAATCCAATCCAGTAAGAGGAATAATCCAGTGTTTTAGAGGCAATCCTGTAAGAAACAAACACAAAAGAAATAAAAGGAAAAGATAAAAAAATCCATCTTTCATCCTCCTTCTCTGTCCTTTCCATGGCTGTACGGCTGTGAGGGAAGGGAATGTGAAGCTTGTGCTGAGGCATTTACGGAGACTAGTTGTCTCATTATTATTACTATTTATTTGCATTATGGGCTCACCTAAAGGACCCATTCAGGACTGGGGCTCTGTTGTGCACTGGACAAGAACAAAATCAGGATGAAAACAAATACTGAAATATCAAAATTTCCCAAGAGATGGAAATCCTGTTTTCCAACCAGCTCTGTTAGGCACATTCTAGTGAGTTAATAGTGCAGCTCTAAAGCCAGGAGGGGTAAGGTGTTGATAATTCCCTTGTTTTACTGTCACACAACATTAAACAGCTAATAATTGTGGGTTAGGATCTGTGTGGCATTATGGCAGGCCTACATTCAATATAAAGGACCATCATAAATACTTTTAAACTTTTTGTTAAAACACATTAATGAAAAAGCCAAAACAAAATGAGTGAAAACATTTGAAACTTAGAAGATATATAAAATTTATTTTATTTTATTTTTTAAATTTCGCTCAGAGATTTTTTCAAGGTAAAATGTTTTGCTTGCTTGTTCTTTATATGTTGTTAAAAGCCCTAGTTGGGAAAGAGAGGGGTAGTTACGGGTGGCAGCTTTTATTTTGCTGTAGCTGAAGTCTGATCCTACTTCTTCCCAAGAGGAAATAAGAAAAACTCACAGACAGGGAATAAGGAAAGAACAGTGAAGATAAGGGGATGCATCATCCGTCTCTCTGTCATCATCACTTGCAGTTTAGTTCCTGGAAAAAAAATATCAGGAATGTCACACAATTCGCACAACTGTATTAGCCACATTAAGATCTGGCAAAATGTTTCAAGGATCAGGCTAACTGGTTGTTTATTGACTATCATCTTTTGTTTGTTTGTTACAGCAGTTATGCAAGGGTAAGTCTGTCCTGGCAAGCTCACCCAGACGCTTATTAGGTAGAAGGCAAAAAGAGAAAGGTAGACAAGAGGTAGAAGAAAGTACAGATGGAGGAGGAAATTAACACACTAGGGATGGGGTAACAGCGGAAACATTAGGGTCACATTCCAGGCCTTCCTGAGCATTTAGCCAAACTCCATGAAGGTGGTGATGTAATGCTTTTGCATTTTCTCCCCAGTTTGGCTAGGGCGTATTGTAGGTTATGATATTAATGCAGTGTTAAAATTAGGAAGGTACATTAATATTCCTGAGGACCTGGAAGAATAAGAATAATAGTTAATAACTCTTATTCTTCTTTCTCTTCACTTCCCCTATTTGGGGTCATTTACTTTTATAGCATTCTTCCAAATTCATGATTGTACACTTTACTGTTGTGCCAGTTGGTTTCCCTAAGGTCCACTGATATCTGGTCTATGTTCTGAAACTTTGTTTGCCCTCTTGGTTGTGTTCCATCCACTATCATTGCAAATATGACTCTCAGATCTCTGTTGGATATGTCCATATCAACAAAGTGTAGCCTCTCTCAACTTGTCTTCAGTTGTGGCAACCCACATAAGGCCCTCACAATCTCATTTTGTTTCCTATCATGGAAAGTCCAACCATTTGACCATCTCAACAGTTTTATTTCTGGAGAACATACTGATTTCCTTTCTTGTGGCTGGCCATGTCTGTGTTCTGCACATGAGAATGAGTCTAATTACACTTTTATACACTCCATCTTTTAACTTTATTGGAATCCTTTAGTCACAGAGAACTGGGGTCAGAGCTCAGTATTTGCATCATGCAGCTTTGGTAAGATGTTGGACATCACTCAGGAGGGCACCATTGTCAGCAATCATCGATCTCGGGTATTTAAATTCTTTCACTCTATGTTTTTTGCCTGTGATATCCTTTATGATGCTCCTCTCCCTCAGTG